GCTGGGGCTACAGGGAGACCCTGTCTCAAAAAGACCAAAAAAAAAAGACAAAAAACCATACATCCAAGCAATACATTCATACACATAATAAAAAAAAATCATGGAATGGTTTGTAAATTTTTATCTATTTATTTTTATGTGTATGAGTCTTTTGCTTGCAGGTATTAAGTGAACCCATGTGTGCAATGCCCTTGGAGGTTAGAAGAGGGTGTCGAATTTCCTGGAACTGGAGTTATAGATTGTTAACTACCATGTGGGTGCTGGGAACTGATCCTAGGTCCTATGCAAGAGTGACCAGTGCTCTTAACTGTTGAGCCATCTCTCCAATCCCTGTTTTTTTGTTTTTAAAATTAATAAATTTTTGGTTTTTTTGAGACAGGGTCTCCCTGTAGCTACAGCAGGCCTAAAATTCCCTATGTAGTACAGGCTGGCTTCAGTCTCACAGAGATCCATCTGCCTCTGCTTTCCAAGTGCTGGGATTAAAGGTGTGTGCCACTGAGCCCAGACTTGTTTTTATTTTTTGAGATATGATCTCTTTATACAGCCCAGACTGATATACAATTCACTATATAGTCAAAGATAGTCTCAAACTAGTGATGCTCCTGTCTCAGTCTCCTAAGTAGTGGCATTATAAGCATGTGCTGTACCACCACACATAGCATTACGTTTAATGTGAATGTGTGTGTGCACATGCATATGACATAGCACTCATGCAGAGGTCAGAGCACAGCCTAATGGGAATTGGTTCTCTCTTTCCATCATGTGGGTCCCAGAGATCAAATTCAACTTGTCAGGCTCTGTCTTCATTCTCTTGTCTTCATCTCCCATTTAGCCACAGGAACACTGAAAAACACATCACCACATTCAGCTTTCTATGAGCTCTAGGGATGCAAACTCAGGTCCTTATGCTTATGTGACAAGTAATTTTACCTATGGAGTCATCTGTCTCCTCAGCCTTTTTTTCCTTGAGACAAGGTCTCATGCATTCCAGGCTGGCCTCAAACTTGCAGTGGAGCTGAGACTGACTCTGTACTCTTGTCGTCCTACTTCTACCTTCTGCTGTACCTCCTGGGTGCTGGGATTAGAGGCCTGCACCAGAATGTCTATCTTGGTTATAGGGTCTTATTTAGGTTTTTTTTTTTTTTTTTGGCTTTTTGAGACAGGGTTTCTCTATAACCCCAGCTGTCCTGGAACTCACTATGTAGACCAGGCTGGCCTCGAACTCACAAGATCCACCTGCTCTGCCTCCCAAGTGCTGGGATTAAAGGTGTGCGCCACCATGCCCAGCCTTAGTTTTTATTTTATGTGTATGAGTGTTTTGCCTAAACACACACACACACACACACACACACACACACACACACACACCACATCATGCATATGCCAAGTGCCTATGGAGGCCAGAAAAGGGTGTCAGATCTTCTGGAACAGGAGTTAAAGGTAGGTGGTTATAGGTCATCACGTGGATGCTGAGAACCGAACCTGGATTCTCTTTAAGAGCAGCAAGTGCTCTTAACCACTGAACCATCTCTTTAACCCCCAAAGTTAAAAAGTCTTGAGACTATTAAGCAATAGTTTCAAGTTATCTTTTTAAAAATATTTTATTATTTTTTAAAATTTTATGTATGAGTGTATTGCCTGTATGTATGTAAGTGCATCCATGTCATGCAATGCACACAGAAATCAGAAGAGGGCCTCGGATCCCCTGGAACTAGAGTTACAGATGGTTGTTAGCTGCCATGTGGGTGCTGGGAACTGAACCTGGTTCTCTGCAAGAGCAGCCAGTGCTCTTAACCGCTAGAGCCATCTCTCCAACCCCTCAACTTTTCTTTTTAAAAATTATTATTATTGTGTGTTTGTCTATGTGCACATACACATGCAATGATGAGAAGGGTGTCATGGTGCTTGTGTGAAGGTCAGACAACTTTGTGCAGTTGGTTCTCTCCTTTCGCCTTTACTTGGGCTAAGGTTGCCAGGCTTACCATTAGCTTTGCCTACTAAGCCATCTCATTGGCCTGTCAAGTGAGCTTAAAAAAAAGCAAGCATCTGGTTTGGACTGGTGAGGCATGCCTATAATTCCATACTTGGAAGGCAGAGGCAGAGGCAGAGGCAGGGGCAGGAGGTATACAAGTTTAAGGCCAACCTGGTTTACATGTTGAGTCACCCAGGGACACACACCAAGACCCTGTCTCCAAAAACAAACAAAAAAGAAGGTACTTCCTAGGTAACAGCTTGAAATTATCAGATTATCAAATTATCAGATAAGTTGCATTTTAATTTTCGCATATTTTTACCTGGTCTGAAAACAAATGTGCATCAGCAGATATCTAAGCGAAGCCTGGATAAAAGTATGCTAGCAATAAACGTGTTAAATGAACACACACATCCAGTTCTCCTGGATTAGAGCAAAAGTATGGTCATATCAAAAGAGAGAAAGTAGCGGGGTGGGGGGTGGGGCGCACGCCTTCAATCCCAGCACTAGGGAGGCAGAGAGATGGACCTCTGTGAGTTCAAGGCCAGTCTGTTCTACATAGCAAGTTCCAACCCAGCTGGGACTACAGGGAGACCCTGTCTCAAAAAGACAAAAAAAAAAAAAAAAAAAAAAGAGAGAGAGAGAGAGAGAGAGAGAGAGAAAATATCCATAGAAACTAAATTTAATCTCTGTACTCAGGATTTCACTGAAAGCTCAAGGCCAGACTGGTCTACTTAGTAAGTTCCTGGCCAACCAGGGCCACACAGCAAAACCCTGTCTCAAAGAAACCCTGTCTGGCCTGTTATTTAAGGATATAATACTATCTACTTTTAAGGCTGAAATAGGAGAATCTCAAGTCTAAGGCTTGCATAGGGCAGAGTGAGGGTTGGGGATGTAACTTAGTGACAGAGTGACTGAGACTGAGATTGATGAGATCCTAGGTTCAATCTCCAGTACTACAGATAAGAATTTTAAAAACAGAAAACTTGATTTTTCCAGTGTTTTAGTTTATAGTCAAAGAACCATACTATCGTCCTACTATGATGGAACTACTATCCATACCTGTTTACAAAGGTATTCTGAGAACTTGCTCAGTCCGTCCTCATGTAAACCCAGCAGTGGGAAGATCTTGAAGAAACGTTCCACCTGGGGCAAATCGCCTTCTTTGGTAGCGATAGCAAACTTCTCTGCGACAATGGCTTTGAGACGCTGCTCAGCCTCCTGCAGCAATTTCAGGTTGGCATCAATCATGCTTCCTGCTCAACGGGGAGGAAAGGAGAAGCACCTTGAAGGATAGTCAGGTCCATGACACTGAATACCACTCAGCAATTCGCAATGCACATTAAGTACCTACTGTGTACAAAACACTGTGCTAGCAATGTGAAGGATTATTTTTAAGGGATCTGGTAAAATATAACATAGTGAGTTGACACATGATTTGATACCCCTGCAGATTAACTAAAATTTATTTGGTTGCCATTGACAGGAACTCAACCTGAAGGGGGTTCCCAGACTATATCAAGATTGGTTTGTTTTGTTTTTGCTTTTTGTCTTTGAGACAGCCCCAGCCCCTGTAACCCCAGCTGGCCTGGAACTCACTATGTAGACCAGGCTGGCCTTGAGCTCACAGAGATCCACCTGCTTCTGCCTCCCAAAAGCCAGGATTAAAGGTAAGCGCCACCAGGCTGATATGTCATTTCTTAAAGATGGGCAGGATTTTGATATTCAAGTAGGAGGGACATTCCAGGAAGAGGGATCGTAGTAAGTAAAGGAACAAAAGCAGAAATATGAAGGACATTCTCAGAGTATTGCAAACATTCTATGTCCTGGCCTAAAGAGGAACTGGGAATTATTTGCATAACAGATGAGAGTATTAGTGACTACCCCTACAAAGACAGTGTAAGAGTTAAGATCTTAGAAGATCCATAATACCAGGCAAGGAATTTTTTAAATTCATGTATGTACACGTGTACCTAGGCTAGATGACAACCTCAGGCATAATCTTCAGGAACACTATCTGCCTCCTTTGAGACAGGGTCTCTCATTGGCCTAGAGCTCACCAGTTAGGTTAGAATGTATAGCCAGTAAGCTCCAAAGGCCTGTCTCTGCCTTCCCAGCACTGGATTACAAGAATGCACCTAGTATGCATTGTATTTTTATGTGAGTTCTGGGGATCAAACTCAGGTCTTTATGCTTGTGAAGGAAATACTTTATCAACAAAGTTATCTCCCCAGCCCAATAATTTCATTTTGTAAGTAAGCAGTACGGTTAAGTGCAAAGAACCCACTAGCTAGACAATCAGTAGATATAGGTTCAGTTTCCTTTTCCATCAAATGGGAATATCATCTATCCTGGGTTGGTGTAGTACTTACACAGGGTCTCCTACTAGATAGAGAAACCTCCTAGTAATACACATCTTTATATTTGTTTAATTTTTGTATTTTCAGGGACGCGGTTCTACTCTGTAAAACCTGGCTGGCTTTGACCTCCTGCCTCAGCCTCCTGAATGCTGGCATAGGCATGAGGTACCATACCTGGCAAAACACTTTTTTTCTTGGTTGAGTTTGCATATTTTAGAACACAGATGCTTATAAACAAAACAGAAGCCAAAAGTTTGGGAGGCTGACCTTCCTTGCCCTGCCGGCTGAGCTCAATGACGGACTTGTCTAGGCATAAGTAACGGTGAATATGGGCTGCGGCCTGCTCATAATCTTCATTCCTCAGGGCAGTCTGAACTCCATCCATACAGAACTTCAGGTCCAGGATGTCGTCAGCTCTCTGAATAGCCTGATAGAGGCGGTTCTGCAAAAATACGTGATGCTTACAGACAATGCCCTATTCTTTCACAAATTCTCAGCAGAAGGTAGAGATATAGGAGTGGAGCTTAGTCAACAGGTCCTTTCCAGCCTTAATTGGCAAATTCATAAATACTACCATCACTACTCACAAACTGTTACAGATAATGATCAAGACACTAGCAGATACCATGATTTAATTAACGTGGTCAATTCATTTTAGTAGAGGCATGAATGGGAATAATCTGTAAATAATCTAAATGTTAAATATAAGCCTATAAATAAATATAACATATTTATATTTGATTTATTTTGTTAAATTTATTTATTTTATTTTTTGGTCTTTTTGAGACAGGGTCTTCCTGTAGCCCAGCTGGCCTGGAACTCGCTACGTAGACCAGGCTGGCCTCAAACTCAGAGAGATCCGCCTGCCCCTGCCTCCCAAGTGCTGGGATTAAAGTAAAGGCGTACGCCACCACACCTGGCCTTATTTTGTTATAACTAAATCAGAATGTATGTAATACTTGGGAACGTAACATTGTAGTGCCAGGGATCTAGTCTAGGGCTCTGATACATGCCAGGCAAGGACTCTACCAACTGAACTATGCTCCCAGCCCCTTTTATTGACATTAATTACCTTCAGATGCTAAACCAGCTTTGCATTCCTAAGTCCTGGCATCTACTCTTTTATATGTTGGATTTGCTCTTAGTGTTGCTTGAGGATTTTCACTCCTACATGCGTAAGAACTATTGGTCTGGACTTTTCATGTGCTATCTTTGTCTGATTTTGGTATTTCTTATTAGGTTTTTACTGGATGATGCTAATCTAGCCTCAAACATCAAAAGCTCAATGGACTTACCTTGGCCAGGTCAAGCTGACGGACTTTGCTGGACACGTTCTCAGCGAGGTTGCAGGTAAAGGTGATCATTCCAGCCAGCTGCTTTGCATCTCCCTCAATCAACTGAAGGTTGGGACTGGAGACAGACATGGGCAGGACACACAGGTCCATGGAGGCAGGGGCAGGATGGAAAAACAGAAAGTGGGTGTTTCCTTTTGTTTGTTTTCTCAGGTAGAGACGTGTCTTCTACTTCGTCCTCTCCTTTTCCCTTCTTATTTTGCAATAGTATCTTTGTTTACCTTCAGTACTGGGGATTGAACCCAGGGCTTTCTGTAGTTAGACAAGTGCTCTATCACTGAACCACATTTGCAGTCCTTTTCTCTCTCTTGACAGATCTAATGTAGCCCAGGATAGCCTTGATGTTTTGGTTGCTAGCCTTAGCCTTTAATGTTGAGCCATCTCTTCAGCCCTATAGCCTTGAACTCCGGATCTTCCTGCCTTCCTCTCACAAGAGCTGGGATTACAGGTATATACTACCATACTCAGGCTTGTTTTCTTTTTTTTTGAGGTAGACTCTCATTAGACAATCCAAGTTGGCCTCAAACCTGAGACCCTCCTGCCTCAGCTTCCTGAGTGCTTATAGGTATGCATGCAAATGCCAAGCACAAAATGCCAAGCAAATACACAAAATTTCTAAAAGCAGTGTTTCTTTTTTTCTTTTTTTTTGGTCTTTTTGAGACAGGGTCTCCCTATAGCTCCAGCTGGTCTGGAACTCACTATGTAGACCAGGCTGGCCTTGAACTCTCAGAGATCTGTCTCCGAAATGCTGGGATTAAGGCAAGTGCCACCACACCCAGCAAAGCAGTGTTTCTTAAACTTGAACTGCACATCAGAATCACGCTTATCTATGTATCCTATGCCCTAGAGTTTCTAATTCAGTAAGTTTAGGGTAGGGGGCAGTCTCAAAATTTGCACTTCAAATAAGGTTACATGTAGTCTAAGATTTTTTGTTGTTGTTGTTGTTGTTGTTTTGAGACAGGGATTCCCTGTAGCCCCACTGGTCTGAAACTTCCTATGTAGACCAGGCTGGCCTTGATCTCACAAAAATCACTAGCCTCTGCCTCCTGAGTGATGAGATTAAAGACATGCAGTACAACACACAGCTCTATTGTTTTTTAAAAGAGGATTTCATGTAGTCTAGGCTGGCCTGAAGGAAATGTAATTGAGGCTGGCCTTGAACTCCTCATCTACATGCCACTACCTCCCAAGTGTAAGGGTGTGTGCTACCATACCCAGTTGTGGAGCAAAGCCAAATATTTAAAAAAAAAAATTTTTTTTTAATTTTATTGTTTTTTGGTCTTTTTGAGATAGGGTCTCCCTATAACCCCAGCTGTCCTGGAACTCACTATGTAGACCAGGCTGGCCTTGAACTCACAGAGATCCACCTGCCTCTGCCTCCCAAGTGCTGGGATTAAAGGTGTGCAACCACCACGCCTGGCCAAAGATTTTAATTTTATTTATTTTTATTTTATGTGTATAAGCGTATGAGTGTTTTGCCTGCATGTATATAAGTACACCACATGCACTCAATGTCCATGGAGGCCAGAAGAGGGTGACAGACCCTCTAGAGTTGGAGTTATAGCTGTTAGCCACTATATGGGTGCTGCGAATTGAACCCCAATGTGCTAGAAGAGCAGCCAGCCCTGTGCCATCTCTCCAGCCCCCAAAGACTTTTTTTGAGACAGGGTCTTGTGTGACCCAGGCTGGCCTTGAACTCTGATACTCCTGCCTCTGTATCTCAAGGGATGGGGTTATAGATCTGAGTTACTATGCCTAGCTCCAAGGCCCCCCCTTTTTTTTTGTCTTTTTGAGACAGGGTCTCTCTGTAGCTCCAGCTGTCTTGGAACTATGTAGACCAGGCTGGCCTCGAACTCACAGAGATAACGCCTACCTCTGCCTCCCAAGTGCTGAGACTAAAGACATATGCCACCACGCCCAGCTGTTCCAAGGCCTTTATTAATTTTCATGCCAGGTATGGTGGTGCATGCCCCAGAGGCAGGCAGATCTCTATGAGATCGAGGCCAGCCTGGTCCACATAATGACTTCCAGGTGGGCTGGGACTAGGGAGACCCTGTCGACAATGACAAAAATTAATTTTTATTTAAAAATTTTTATGTTTTTTTTTTTTTTGTCTTTTTGAGACATGGTCTCTTTGTAGCCCCAGCTGTCCTAGAACTCACTATGTAGACCAGGCTGGCCTTGAACTCACAGAGATCCGCCTGCCTCTGCCTCCCAAGTGCTGGGATTGAAGGCGTGCACTAGCATGCTTGGCAATGTATTTTTATTTTATGCGTATGAATGTTATGTCTGCATGTATGTTAAGTGCACCTGTGTTGTGCAATGCCTGGAGAGGACAGAAGAGGGTCTCAGATCCCCTAGAACTGTAGCTATGGACGTTGTTAGTTGCCATGTGGGTACTGGGATTCAAACCCAGGTCTTCTGCAAGAGCAGGCAGTGTTCTTAGCTGCTGAGCCTTTTCCCCAGCCCCAATTTTTAAAAATTATGTGTATATGTGGGTGGATATGTGCATGTGAGTGCTGGTGCCAGTGGAGGCCAGATGTGTTGAATTCTCTGAAGGTGAATTTACAGACAGTTGTGAGTTGCCTGAGGGTGCTGGGAACTGAACTCAGGTCCTCTACAAGAGCACTACATCCTCTTACCTACTGAGCTCTCTCTCCAGACCCATCCAAAGACTTTTTGATAGCCTTAGGTGTTCACTTTTGAGTTAATGTTCCTTTCTGTTTTTACATGCATTTGTCTGTTTACAACAAAAAGGAAAAAAATAAAAACCAATCCTTTTTTTTCTTGAGAGATGGTCTCAATCTGCAGCTCAGCCAGCCTAGAACTATGTAGCCCAGGATAGCCTCTAGCTTGGAGAAATATTCTTACCTTAGCCTAGGCTAGGATTACAAGTAAGAGCCAGGACAGTAGGCTAGGAAAATTAATCTGATACAATTCCAAATTCCATTGGGATTTACAATAACTCATACTGTGACGCACTCACCCCATTCTGTGGAGAGCAACCATTTTACTCTCAATGGTGTTTTGCTGCTCCAAAAGAGCATCCAGCTCTCTCTCCACCACTTTCTGAAACAGAGAAACATCATCAGAATGGGTAGAAGGATTTTTAAATTTGTGTGTACTGAGGATTAAAGCCTTATCCATTCCAGACAAGGGTTCTATCATCAAGCTAAGCCACTAGCCAAAGGGGGAGGAACTTTAAGAGTTCTCTAACTCAATCACTTAGCTAGAGGGTGAATCCTATTTCAAATTTCTTTTCTCCTCTCACTAAGCTCCCTTTGGATTTAAACACTGCTTTGTTTTGTTCTTGCTCACCTAAATGTTTCCTTTTTGCACTTACCAAATTTGACACTTGTTACCTTATATAATATTTTTGTTTGTTTTGATACAAGGTTTCACGTAGCCTAGGTTAGCTTCCAACTTGTTATCCAACAAGATGATCTTGACCTCTTATTCTTCTTGCTTTTACCTCCAAAGTGCTTTATGATTATAGCTATGAGCCATCATACCTAGTTTATTTCCTGTATACCTTATTCCATCTAGCAAATGAACATTACAATGGGAACAAATACTTTCTGTTAAAATATTTTATATTATTATTATTATTATTATTATCATCATCATCATCATCATCATTTTGTGTATGTGTGCGTGTGTGTCTGTCTGTCTGTCTGATACTTGAGGGAAAGTTGCCTGCATGAGCCCCAGCACAATTATGGAGCTCAGAGGACAACTTTAGTGGAGTTGGTTCTCTCCTTCCATCTTTATATGGGTTCCAGGAATCAAACCCAGGTGGTCAGGCTTGTCCAGCAAGCGCTGAGCCATCTCATTGACCCTCCACCTCATTTTTAAAGACAGTCACCCACTGAACCTGGAGCTCATAGTTTTGGCTACCCTGGTTGGTCAGGAAGGCCCTGAGATCTGCCTCCCTTGGCCTCCCAGGGTTATAGGCTGTCACAGTCGTGCTCAACTTTTTATATGG